GGGTGGTTGGCGGGTAGGGAGGTGCATTGAGGAACCTGGCCTTGGGGCAGCAGAGAGAGTAAATCCGGCCCTGATAGTATAACGTTAAGATCAAGCACACAGTGACATGACCTCAAACTAGCAGAGAGAAAGTTCCTACTGAAATAGTAATTGATGCTTGGAACAGACTTCCAGCAGAAGTAGTGAGTTAGTCAACAAAAAGTAAATTTTCATTTTCTTGGGACAAACATAGAGCTAAAGGCAGAAAAAAATAGGCTCAAAAAAACAAAATAAAAGTCAAAAAAGGGGCAGACCTGATAGACCAATTGGTCTTTTTCTACCGGCACTCTTCAATGTTTTGGTTCTAGAAATAACAGCTTTATTAAAAACACACGGTTTCTTAGAGCACTAACATACCATTGTATTTCATAACAAATCACAAACCGGTAAAATCTCAACAGTCCGCTAATGATTGGCAAGTGTTGTTTTCAGTTTTCCGCAATAGTACACTGTGGTTAGCATAGCTCACGATTGCCTGTTAGTGCCTATACTAGATTATATTATCTGTATTCACTTTAACAGCATTAGAATTACTTATGTAATCCTCCTAATAATGGACACTACATGCTGATATTGACCATGCAGATTGCTTACCTCCCCCTCCCGTATAGTGAGGGCATTCTCATACAGCCGGTTTATATGTAATGTGAACTGTTCGAAATCTGGAATCACAAATTTTCTACAGACGATCTGAGTCAGGAGCACAATATTACTCTGGACACACCTGTAGAAAGGATACAAAATAAAGTTATATGAATTCTTTCTGATCGATATATATTACATGTACAGGTGAAACTCGAATAATTAGAATATCGTGCAAAAGTAATTGCAGTAAGTGCTGCAAAAGGGGCCCAAACCAAGTACTGAGTACATATGCATGCTTGTACTTTTCAGTGGTCCGATATTGTTCTATGTACAATCCTTGTTTTATTGATTGCATGTAATAATCTACTTTTTTGAGGTTGTGGATTTGGGGTTCTTGGGGTTTTCATGAGCTGTAAGCCATAATCATCACAATTATGACAAATCACGGCTTGAATTATCTTGCTTTGCATGTAATGAGTCTATCTCATATATCAGTTTCACCTTTTAAGTTGCATTAGTGAAATAAATGAACTTTGCACGATATTCTAATTATTCGAGTTTCACCTGTATATCCCTTGTTTTCTCTTCAGTGTTTCCCAATATGTTCCACCAAAAATGAATCAAAATTGTTTAGGCAAAACCTTTTTTGGATTTAATAGAATATGAATATACACACATCACTGATACATTAAGAATGAAGCAAGCAAGATGTTTACTAGGTAAAGATGAATACTTCATACACTACAACACACAACACATCACAACGCTAGGTAAAATAGTTTTGTATAGCATAGGGAAAGGTTTGAACCCTTGTCAGGTTTTTATTGCTAAAGCAGTACTTCTTAAACACTATTGGGAGAACATATCAAAACTGGAGCAGTTGCCCATAGCAACCAATCAGCTGCTCTCTTCAGTTTGTTCAGTTAAGCTTTATAAATGAAATATAGAAGCTGAGTGGTTGTTATGTACAGCTGATTCAGTGTTTATGAATTCCCCCTATGTATTAACCACTTGCTGTCCGGAGCAATTTCATTATATTTGCACACACATGATAAAAACTGAATTTCTGGCTAGAAAACAGCATAAAACCACTAAACAATGATATATTTTCTGAAAGCTGAGGCCCTGTAGAATAAAAAAACGATAGTTGCACAAATGTTTATCAAACCAGTATTTTTAGGTTACAATACACTAAAATAAAATTTAGTGCAAAGAAACGGAATATAAATGTAATTTTTTGGTAAAATATAAAAGACAGGGTCACGTCGAGTAAATAGATACCAAACATGTCAAGCCTTAAAATTGCGTTCACCCATGGAACTGTAAAAAAGTACAATACCCAAAGTTTCCCATAGGCAACGCTTTCAAAGCAGTGATTGATGGCTCTAGACCTATTGTTCTCACTCCGACGTTCGCGTGTGGCGCAATTTTTGTTTTTGCAAGCAGACGCACCGAGGCTTGTTTGCGCTTGTATGTGCATGCACGTGGGGCGGGGGACTTTAAAAAATGTTTTCGCATTTTTTACATTTGTTTGTGACTTTCATTTTTTTTTTTACCCTGCACTTTTTTGCTATTACATAGGGGGATAACAAGCCCCCTATGTGATAGCAAATATGATGTGACAGGGCCTCTTTGCAGAGACATCAGGGGTCTGTCAGACCCCTAATGTCACCTAGAGACCCCGAAGAAGCTGATGAAGCAGAGATCTGCTTCACCAGCTTCTTTTTCTGGCTTCAGAAGCCAGATAATGTAAACAGTGACACCGGAAGTGATGTATTACACAGAGCAAAGGTGTTAGTAGCATATATTTGCCGCAAATCTATGTGGAACCCACACAGGCCTGTCAAGGTCCCTTTGTATAGCGTGGTCCCTAATCTGAAAGAGCTTTCAGCCTGGGACATGCAGAGCAATAAAAAGATGAAAGGTAGGTATGCCTGGAGGTAAAGAATTCCTAGGTGCAGATACATACACACTAAAAGCCCATCGAGCACACATGCAGCTGAAGACCTCCAGTGTGACCTAACAATCAATAACTAGCTATTTAGAGCAAGGTGCTCATTTCCAGCACACTTGACACCAGCCAGTCAACAAAGGAATTCAACATTGTGTGTAAGTATCCCAGCAAAAGGTAGTATAAATAATTTGGTGCTGCTGGTCACAGTCACAACCAAAGTAACCAATAGACATGCAAACTTCGTTTTGTTCTGAATGGATATTTGTACGAATTTCATGAAATCCGGACATTCGGATGCATCCTAATTTCCAAATTTGAAGGCATCCGAATGTAAACGAATCTGAATGTCCATTTAACAAAATTCAGGTCTATCTGAATTTCTTTCAAAATGGAACTAAAACAGACGTGACTGTTCTCTGGCCAATCAGATTTTTTTGGGCTGTTGGGGGTTGCATTACAGGCAAGGTCATGTGACTTTGTTTCAAAATGAAAATTCAGATTGAAATCCGAAAAAAACTAAAGAAATAAAAATCCAAACCAATCCAAAATGAAACAAAATATTTTTTTTTTGCGGAGTTACATGTCTAGTAACTAACATTCAACATCCTGTCCCGCACTTTGGCCCAAAATCAGAGTAGTAGGGTGCGCAGTCAATAGTGGCACTGTCTGATTCAGAAATACCTACCACTCCTTAAACACTATGGGGGGGGGGGGGGGGGCGGGGGACGGAACGGCCAC